ATGCTATGACTCTATGGTTTCTTGTTGTTGGGCAGACGTATGTGGCTGGCAGTTGTAATTAAGGTGGTTTTCATTGCTTTTAAGGAAACATGATGGAGGGAAAAGCCTGAAAAAAATCCTTTGGAACTTTCTTGTTTTAAATTTAAACAGAGAATAATTGACATGGAGTGTTATCCTGTAGGTCTACATCTCAGTCACTCTCCTGTGCTTCTAATTTCCAGCATTTTATTCAGAGACTCAAGTCCTGAGGAAAAGGTAGAGTTGCTGGTTCATTTGTGCACACGGTCTTACTAGAGTTTATTCATTTCTAGAATCAGTTGTCTCATGTCTGTCTGCGTCTGGGATACTCTTCTTGGGTATGAAACGGAGGCTTCTGATGCTTCCTTGTGTATTTTCTAACTGAACAAAATGAATCCTAATGGACTCTTCTGTGATAATTAGAAGAGTGCAATCCACTGGGGTTTTCTCTACTTTTATCATAAATAGTATCTTGACTGGAGGTTATGTTTAATGGGGTCTCATTCGTACATGACAAGGCATTGTTTATACTGTGCCTTCCAGTGTAAAATCCTGAGTATTCTGTAAAAATAAGATCTTCATTTTTTAAACTTATGATTATGGATAGATTATATTACTAACTATAATTTTTCAAAAAAGTTCATAGACCTGTCTCTGTTTTGGTTTTGTCCGATCAGTTACATCTTAGCTGAAAATTTGAGCAAATTTACTGCTTATAGGGAAGTTTGTTTAGAACATGGTTAGATTTTTTTTTTTAATGAGAAATATGTTTTTGCACATCAGCTCCTATACTCATTAACTTATTCACAGCAATGGTGGTAGCAACTGAATGTTCTCTCAAGGTATGATTACATTTATCTATGAAATCTTGTAACTCTTTGATTCCTTGCACAATCTTAGGTAAGGGTTCTAAGGAGAAGGTAATGGGAACAGAAAGAGGAGGGAATAACATCTGAGTCCACAATATCTGACTTCTCATGAGGTAAAAGTGATAGGTGGTTCTCTTCCATTATAAGTTATCAATATGTGTTAGCCTTCTGGAAAAGGGGGTTCCTCACTGATGCATAGAAGTAGTTTCTACATCACTGATAGAAATTCACATAAATTGAGGGGCTACTTCAAAAAGTATATGATAGAATTTAGGGAAGATAGTTCATTCACAGTGGTTGATGGAGTTCTCCAACAAGCAGGCTCCCAAATGGGAGGCGTTGGTCCACATAGCAGTCCCCCGGTAGCCGTGTCATGGCCTATCAGTAATTGGCTGTGATTTTTAGAGCACAAATAATGATAGGGTATTTATTGAGCCTGTTTCTGCTTCCTGAAAGTCTTGGTTAGTAATGAAAAATGTGAACAAGTCACGTGCAAAGAAACAAAGATTTTGCAAACAGTGTCCATTGACAGCAGTGAGTACAACACAGTTTAAGGCGGAATTCAGTTTCCAGATTAGTTTTTCTCTTCTAGGTGAGTCATTGTTGATTCTGAGACGCAAAAAAGAATAGTGATAGAATTAATAAAAAGTACTGTTCTGTGGGAATCTAAATGGATTTTAAATATTGGGGTGAGTTTCCTATATTTTTAGACAGTTCATTATATAAAAAGTCTCAAGTTAATATAGAAAATATTACCAGTTTGAGATTCTTGGTTTGTGTTTTGTACAAATCCAAGTAGCCAGCCTCTACAACTAAGAAAGCTTCCTTTCCACTGTGACTTGAGTGTTGAGGCCATTTGTGGGCAATTTTCTTGAAAATATGTTTACATGATGGAGTGTTTAGCTTTGAAGTCAGTGCTGAGGACCTGAGGCTGTGAACTTAGGTGTGGAAATGGGAAAGAATCATGTCAAGTGGGATGAAAGAGGAGTTGGCTGAAATTGTAGCTTTTGGAGGTGAAAGATTTGAGAATTCTGATTTTTCCTACATAATTCAATCTAATATATCTAATTAAGTTGCCTTAATTATTTAGGAAATGTTTGGAAATTTTTTCAGGCTGAGACATAGTGGTTGTTGCTCTTGTATCTTAATGGCAAATAGGGTCTTTAGGAACTTGAATATGGTTTGTTTCACCTTTGTGGTTTTATAGAAGACTTTTCAAACTTTTGGTGAAGAAGATCAACTTTGGCCTAGGTAGAGGGCTTCATCTTGGGATGATACAGATATTCTTCAGATGATACAAATATTCTGTTATGGTCACACAACAAAGTGAATGTACTGAATGCCACTGAATCGAACACTCAAAAATAGTTCAGGTGGTAAATTGTATGAAAGATCAACTTTGGGGTGAATCATGAGCACTGAGATACTTTCTCTTGAGTGGGTGGGTCGGAGCTTGGATCCTCTGTGTGAAGCACAGGGTGATTCATCTTCCTTCTGCTGCTCCATGTCTCACGGGTCCGAACATGACTTACAAGTGGCCACTGTCACGTGATGCCTCAGCTGTGCCTTCCACAGGCGAGACCATAGGTCCTGAGTGTGTGTCCCAGACAGGCTGCCTTTGACGAGTGAAGGGTCTGGTCTTAGTCCTTGGACTAGGGATCCCCAACCTCCAGGATCTGATGCCTGAGATGACCTGAGGTGGAGCTGATGGAATAACTATAGAAATAAAGTGCATAATAAATGTAATGCGCTTGAATCATCCCCAAACCATTCCCCACCCCACCCCCATCCGTGGAAAAATTGTCTTCCACAAAACCAGTCCCTGGTGTCAAAAAGAATGGGGACAGTTGCCTTAGATGGTCTGATTCTGTATCAGTTTGTCCATGCTGTTCCTTTGGACTCTTCATGCCCTTTGGGAAAAATCAAACTTAGGCAGGAGTGAGCTTAATAAATTGTTTTGCTGGGGTGACACAGTGGGCTGGGGTTCTGCCCCTGAGCTTGATGATGTTACAGTTACCCACCCACCTATCACAACACAGCCCGCTCGGCTGGCACAAATAATTGGAAGTTATGAGAATGACTGATTTTGTAGTAAGGCAGCCATTATGCTTAAGTGTGCAGAGTTTCATAACAACAACTCAGTAGTCAAGTGTCCAGTGGATTAAGCATGTGGCAGTATTTGATGTTTGAGATGAATTTATAGCTCCACAGGGAAAACAGAATGATTGTGAACCAAGTTGTGTATAGGAACTGGGTGGAAAGATTTTGAGTTCTTTCCACATATTCTGTGGCACTGGTCTTTGTGTTTGCCAACCTGTGGCATGATGTCCATGAAGACTCAGTGTGACTCTCACCTTGGGTTCCTCCCGGTGATGTGCTGACTGGTTCTTAACTGCCAGCCTCCCATGCCCAGTATAAGGGTGGCAGGAAGCCTGGCCCGTGTCTGGGGTGCATACACCACACCTGGGTACTGGACGTGGGTTGAGGAGGGACCTGATCATCCCCAGGCCCCAGGGGCTGATGAGCCTGGCTCCAGTGTGCTCCTGGCTCTTGCCCTCGCTCCTGTGTCTGACTCCTGAAGGGTTCATTTAGGATGCGGCCAGCAGGCACTTGTCCATTCTCTTGGGGCTGGTTGTCTCCTTGTGTGTGCTGGCAAAATAAAATGTGGGGTTAACGCAAGCACCTTTGTAACCGAGCTTAATGTTAAGAAGCCTCCATAGGCCGAGTAAGCACTCTTGCATTTCTATTAGAATGCTGAACCCATGTGCTCCATCAGGCAGGATTTGGATGCCTGTGGGCACTGGACCCAATTATATGGTGTTGAGCTGCAAGCAGGGCTGTTGACATGTGGACAGCTGCTGGGAAGTTTGCATATTGAGGTCAAAGGCAAAGGGGATGTAACAGTGGAAATAGTGGAAACGTTTGCTCTGGGGAGTCCTAAACCCCCTAAGTTTCTTTTTAGCCGAAGGTTATAAAAAACCTTTAATGTCACGATGGACAAGTGAAGGGAAATCAGTGAGTGATTTCCTGCTCTCCCTGCCACAGACATGCCTGATGGAGAACTTGTCCCGATGGCAGGTCCTGTGAGAGTCTGGCAGTGAGTGTGACTGTGGAGGCAAAACCCTGCTTCGTTCTCTTCCACTTGACTTGTGTGCGGTTCTCAGCTCTGTGTAGACAGTGATGTCTGCAGTGTGAATGGTGGGTGTTGCACCTTGTGTTTTTGCTGTTTCTAGTTTGTAAGGCTTTCTCACGTTCCTTCCGGCGAGTCCTCCAGCTTCCTCGTGAGACCATCTGCCTGCAGGTCAGTGCAGGGACGAGCCCTGGCACCGCAGGTCAGCGTCGCTGAGGGTCTTGCCGAGACCCAGATGCAGATTCTCACTCTGAGTCAGTTTGTGATTCCATTATGACCTTTAGTAAGTCTTTAACCTTCCCAGTGTCTCCTTCCTGTGAAACACGGTGAAAGCACAGAACAGGGAGGACTGGGAACCCTAATGGGTTGAGATTCCATCAGGGTGGGGGGCGGGAAGCTGTCCACAGGGCCCCTGGAGCTTCAGGGCACAAGATGGGCAAGCACATCAGGTGGGTCTGTTGCTGGAAAGATGTTTAGCGAAGTGGAGCAGTTACTTACCTGGGAGGCCTCATGTTTCGAAACGCCAGGTGAATGGTCTTGTAACTTACGAGGTTAAAAATAAGATGTCTTGTCTTTGGAAGACCAGATCCTTCAAGTGAGACTTTACCCAGAGACTGAAATTATTTATAATACCTTTTTTTCTTTCCAAAATGAATGGTGGTTGTGGGAATGGGGTGCCAGATGATGTGATTCATAAACCAAGAATAGCTCAGGCGTGGCCGAGGGAACAGGGGGAGGAGGCGGGTGTCTCAGCCCTGATGGCGCTCTTCCTCCAGCCCGAGCCTTGATGACCGGCCACCCCAATCCACTGACAGGAGACGGAAACAGTCCTGTGCTTGAAGGGCTTTATTTTGTGCACTGAAAATGGCTTCATGAGAAAACTGTTCATGCTTGTTAACTGCTGCCCAAGTGAAAGGCTGTGAGTCCGTCGTTTTGTCCTGTACCAGAATTGTCCTACACCATGTGTCTCATCTTCACCTCAGGGCTCTCACAGCCTGGTGGCATCTTGGCACCACGTGGGAAGGTCAGTGCTGCGGGAGGCCAGGACCCGGATTCAGCCCCTGCTCGCCCGGAGCAGGTGCTTCTGTGCAGGGCAGACCTCGGACCCTGTCCACCCTGGGCTGGTGATACACTTCCTCAGGTCAGTGGTCTCTGCCAGGTTAGGTGGAGGCAGGTCTGTGGCTCAAGTCTGAACATTCTGCAGCAGCGCCTGTGCTGAGAGGTTTCCTAGGTGAACCTGGCAGCTGACGTCGGACTTAGTGACACCCAGCTTGTGGGGCAGACTGTGGGCCGTGGGCTGTTTATCCCCTAGGTTCTGGGTGGATCCAAGACCACTTCTTCAAGCAGATGATCAGCTTTGTCTGCAGGGCTCCCAGGGCTCACACTGGGGGTGGGGAGGAGCACCTTCTTCTGGCATCCCCCCCAGGACCTCTTGTGGAGCCCCGTCCCATGTAGAGCGAGCCTGCTTCCCAAGAAGACCTTCCCCAAACCTCTGTTCTTTTTCTTTATCATCATCCCAGGATGGTGCCTGCAAGGTACACATTTCGTTTGTGCAGGAAGTTGGGCAGTGTGGATAAAACTACTGGGACCGGGTCCTGACTTCTGGGGACAGGATCTTGGTCAGTGTTGTGTCTGAAGCCATGGAGAACACGCACAGCGAAGGGCGAGGTGCGGGATGTGCCTAAAACCTCAATGAGTTCTCTCAAGCTCTAAGCTCTTCTGGACCTTGAATCTCAGTCTCCTCTGAATTCTCCGAGTATTCTTTATGTTTATGGGATGTTCAGAAATGTCAGACTTAAGGCTGACTCATGTCAATGTATGGCAAAAACCACTACAATATTGTAAAGTAATTAGCCTCCAACTAATAAAAATAAATGGAAAAAAAAATAAAAATCATTTGGTTGCCAGGGGCCCTTAAAATTCTGAGCATTGGTCCCTTCTCATCAGCCTTCACTAGGAATTAGGGCCCATGGAGTTGTCTGAAACCTCTGTCAGGAGTGGGCCTTTATATCATCCCTGTTTAATTAGGTTCCATGGCTTGAGTGTCACTCGATCCCTTGTGAAAGATGATAAGATGACATCTCTGCTCAGAGCTGCCAGCTAGATGTCACTCTAACGAGAAGTCTGCTCTGTCCTTTGACCTGTGACCTGGTGACCGCCTCTGGAGGGTCATGGTGCCTGTATCCCCAGAGGAGGTGCTGCTCAGGAAGGGAGGACTCTGAGTTCCTGGTGTGGGAGGGGCCCCGGAAGTTACTCCAGCCTCACAGAAGTGCTTGTTTTGAGGTTAAAGGCAGCTTTAATATTTGCCAAAAACAACATTTTAAAATAATGCCAGAAAAAAATAAAATAATGCCAGGAGATCATTTTTATTGTAAAAATACTCAGTGTTTAAAGTTTAAAGCTTTTAAGAAATATGAGTTTATTTCATCTTGTGTAAAAACAATTATTTTTTTCAGGTTTTAAAAGTAAGTAAAAAATATTTCTGAGCTCTGCCTGAATACACAGGTGCAGGATTGTGTGTGTGCGTGTGTGTCTGAGGTGCTGTCATTACCTGCAACCACAGACCGCATGCAGGTGAAATGGTTTTACTGTGTATTTTAATTCCCTCACTTTAAAGTTTGATGGGAGCCCCAGGTGAAGACAGTGATCGATGTTTTCATTGAGAGTTTGCTTATTTAGCAGTGCAGTTTCACTGCTAAGCAGGCATTTGTGGGGCACGTAAATCGAGCTGCAAACACTTGATTTATAGCACGGTCCTCTTGGCACAAGCTACAGTTAATATGCAGGAGTGTTGAGGACTCAGACACAGCCAGTAAGAGAGAAAGAAGGGGTGCTTCCTGAGGCTGGGCTGCTGTGGGCCCTGCTGTACCTCCGTGGGTCCTGGGGGCTGGGGGGAGCTGGCGCCAGGCGGTCCTGTGTGTGCATCCAGTGGGCACTGCTGGGGTGATGTGTGGAGAGCCCAACGCCAGGATGGATTCACCACACCCGCCCCCGGGAGCCTCCTGTTTATTCCTCATTCATGTCCACCACCGATAGAATGAAATCTTCCCACTTTACACACAGTTCTTCACGCTGATGCTCACGTTTATGGTGTTTGATAAGAAGGACACGGTGGTGACTTAAATGCATCTTCTTAAAGGTGTCTGTCGGTAGGATTCCCTGGGGTCAGGACCACCTCTTAACAATTTGGTGCCCCCAGCACAAATACACAGTGGACACTGATAAAAGTGATTTTAAATTGAGCTGAACTGAATGTGTGCCTTTATTGGTGACTGGTGTCCTGTCACTGGAGAAGTAGCATAGGGGAAAAGCATGAGCAGCTAAGGGGAGAGGTTGCAGAGAGTGGTTTTACAACCAAAGTTAAACACACGAACCTGAAGGTCTAAGGTTTGTTAGACACACATCTGAGTAGTGTAGCTGCTGTGTGTAAGGGACTCCAAGGTCGTTCAAGCAAATGTTCCCTTACAGAGGGATGACCCGTCAGTTCCTGGAATAGACTGGTGACTCTGTGGACCATGCGGAGAACTCTGTGTAATGAAATCACAGCGTCAGGCCTGCCTTAATGATGACAGAGGGCATAAACAGCAGTGCTTGCACGTCAGAAGGGGCCCCCGTGGAGACGGCCTTGGTGTTCACTTAGGGCGATGTGTTTGAGTGTCCCACTGGGTCCAGGTCAGCCGACACTCACAGCTCATGGAGTGGTGAGCATGGGCTGTCTCAGTTGTGGGTAGGAAGACAGAAGGACGCTGTCTGTGGACGGTGGGCCAGGAGCCAGCAACCAGGTGGCCTCAGGGATGGATGCAGAGACAGCTCTGAGGCACCTCTGGATTCTCCACATGAAGGACAAGAAACCCTGTGGTCTCCGTCTGAAGGTGTGGCCGGCGGGGTTCCCCAGTGACAGAACAAGAAGGTGTATGTGTGGGTATAAATGCATGTATCTTTATATAGAGAGACTTAGATTTCTTGTGAGGAACTTTGGCTCATGTGATTGTGGGGGCTGACATGGCCCATGATCTGCAGCCTCGTGACCCAGGAGAGTCTGTGTCGCAATTCAGGTCCAAAGGTAGGGAAACCCGCATCCCAGTTTGAAGTCAGCAGGCAGAGAAGTCTCCCTTGAAGTCTTTGTGTTCCATCCAGGCCTTTGGCTGACTGGGGGGCCCCACACCCACCCCAGGAGGGTTGATCTGCTTTACTTAGCTCACCAGTTCAGATGACAGCCTCATTCAGGTTGTATGTGATACATACATGTGCTGTAGGCTGCACAGTGTGTGTGTACATGGTACAGACGTGTGGTGTGCATGTGTGTATGCATGGTAAGTGTGCATGCGCATGTAAGTGGCACACACATGCCACATGCTGCATGACACGTGTGTGTGCATGGCTGGTGCATGTGTACTCACAGTGGGTGCATGTGTGTGGTGCACACATGCTGCATGCTGCACAGGGCGTGTGCACAGTCTCCACATGAGTGACAGAACATTAGTGAGCCCGAGTCTGCAAGGCATCCTGGTGACCGGCTGCTCCCTCCTCCTCCTGTTCCAGGTGAGGAGGCTGAGCCTGCTCAGGTGTCTCTTAGCCAGAGCAAGGCTGCCTGCAGCCCACAGGTCTGAGCTGCCCAAACCCAAGGACGCGCCGTCACTCTCTGGCTCTCTTCCCACCTGCCCAGCCTCCCGGGGGCCAGCAGCAGCACCCCACAACCCCATGGGTTCTGTATGTGCTTCCCATGCATGTCACTAAGGCATCCTTCCATGCTGCCATTTTTATTATCCCAACTTTAAAGGTGAAATGGAGACTCTGAGAATTTAAGTAAATGTCAAAACAGTCATAAAATAAGTAGCAAAATTCAAACATTAAGCTGGGTCTTCAGGCTCTAAGTCCCCTGGTCTTTCCAGGGCTCTCACAAACTTCATTTAAATTCCAAGCATTCTTACTGCTTTAATGCAGCCAAAGGCGTTTTTAATTTTAAAGAGGAAGCTCACGATTCCCTTATACTTGTGGCTTTTCTTTTATTGGCTTTCAGGGGCCTGGCGAGTGCACTGCTTAGACTCATGCACACACCAGTGACACGCTGGGCAGCCCCTCACAGGATGACGGCCCGGGTCCCTCCGGCAGAGCCCGCGTCCATCCTGGGCACCAGGCTCCCCAGCAGGCCTTGCTGCTCCTCCACAGGCTGACTCGCAGGGTTTCTGAACGTGACTTTCTCAGGACGGGCTCCTTTGCTTCTGCCCTGTGTTCACTCTTCCTCGGCCTCCGAGGTTCAGCCTGTGGCTCCCACTGCTGTTTCCTTCACGTCTTCTCCCTGCGGTCCCTGCAGAGGAATGAGCCCAGGGCCTGGGGCTCCCCCGCAAGAGGGCCCTTCTCCATGAAATCCCAAGGCCAAGTGGGATGCAGGTGGGGCAGACCTGGGCTTCACCCTAGGTGCCCTCAGAGCCAGGATCCCGACTCGACCGGCCCGGCACCCTGCCATCCAGGCATCTCGTGCGGCGCCGAGGAAGCAGGTGGCCCGGCTGGCAGCAGCCAAGATCCTCACAGTCCTGGCCAGGCCCACAGCCCTCTTCCCGCGCACTCACCTTCCTGCAGATCCCAGGTGTCTGCTCTGTCTCCTCTACCCTTGCTGACCTCCCTTCTCACCTGCGCCCCACACCCAAAGAACTCACACTCCTTAGCACCCAGCAAGCCCTCTCGAAGAAGCATCCTGGACCGTTGCAGGCAGAAGCCAGCACATGGGTGCTCCAGCACACGTGTTCATGTTGCTTCAGGAGCAGATTTTGTCCAGGCCCCCGGTGCCCTGAGTTCTCTGCAAATGTGGGGAGCCTCAGATCTCCAGGGAATTTAAAAACCATCACAAGGTGGCTACTTCCTGCTCCCCCCCATTCCTGAGTCTTTCCAGGAGGCAGGAGGGAGGTGGGGGCCTCCTTTGAGACTCCTGTGGAGGCCCTGCTTCCTGGCTAAGTCTCCAGAGACCCAGGGAACTGATACCAGCAATCTGGAGGCAGTTGCACACAGCCCTGCTCCCTCGAGAGGCAGGTCCTGGCGATCCAGGTCTGGCAGATCCTGGCGATCCAGGTCTGGCAGGTCCTGGTGACCCTGGTCCAGGGAGTCCGTGCAGCTCAGAGACTTAGTTCTTCCCTCTCCACGTGTCCTGCACTTGCATGTCTGTCTGGCTGCAGGACTCCCCTTCTTTCACTACCCCATCCCAGTGAGATCCCTTCTGTGGTCTTCCTTGGGGACTCCGCCCTGCCGTCCTTCAACCCGCACCCTGGAGCACCCCGCACACTGCAGTCAGCACCGTTCCCAGAGGGGTTTCCAGGAGCAATGCTCCCCTCCTGTCACACAACCCACTGGAGACTCCTCTGCACATCCCTTCACGTCCTTTCTGACAGTGAAAGGGCCGTCCTCATGGCCAGCGTCCCTTACTGTCGCAGTTTACACTCAGGCTCATCTCCAGCCCGCGTGCAGGCCTCTCCGCGGCCTGGGGCCACAGGAGGCTTCTGTCTGTGCACAGGCGTGGCTCTGCCCTGGGGTCTCCTCTGTCAACATTGACGGCCTGCTGTCCTTCACCTCTGGGCCTTTGCATGCGGTTCCTCCCTGACCTAGATCACCTCTGTCTGCCTGGCCATTTCCTCCTCATCCGAGACAGATCCTTGTCCTCTGAGCCTTTCTCTGCAGAGCATCCTCTGGTGGGGTCACGGGTATCCTCCATCACACCAGAGCTGTCACCCCACACACCTGGTACACACGGTGACGATCAGAGAGCAGCCGTGACGGCCAGCAGGGATGGTGGCTCTGCTGGCTCCTCTCTTTAGGACGGTGAGAGGTCGTGTGGCTCAGAGCTGGGCTGGTAGTACTTCTGCAAATGCTCTAAAGAAGGTATCAGAATTTTCACGTGAGACTCAGCAGTCTTAGTTTTCGACCCAGTGCAGACACATCATGTGGTCTTGTTTGATTGAAACGCACAGTGAAATCATGACACAAAGGCAGGCCAATCCATTCCTTCATCACAGGGAAAACCCACGTCATCATGGAAGGAAAATAACAGAGTTCTGAGATGTGAAAACAGAACCTGATCCCAGCCCCTAACGCACTACATCCGGTCTGCGACGGGACAGTGACCTGGTGATGCTGCTACATGCACCACATCCTGACCATGACAGGACGGTGCCCTGCTGATGCTGCTAAACATGGGGAGGGGGGCACAGATGCTCAGGGCACCTGCACAGACAGTGCCGCCAACAGTCCCGTGGGAGATCAAGGATGCCCTGGGGGCTGGATCCAAACTGCCCTGTCCCCCGTGAGAGACCTTGGGACCCACAGCCTGGACCTCGCCCTCGCTCTGGACTCAAGCCTCCAGAGTCACTGAGTCACAGCAGCCTCCTTGGTTTCCTGATGGAGGCTCCCAGCTGCCAGCCCCGTCCCTGGAGGCTTCTTTGTGGTCCAAGTCACCAGACACAGCCTGACCTTCCTTGTGGCCTGGCTCTCAGGGGTCCCATGATGGGGAGTCAGAGCCCCCACGGGCTCGTCATCTGAGGTATCAGCGCCGGCCCAGTGTGGCTCTGGCCAGTGGGCTGCATCCTCAGGGCTGAGGCCATGCTGGATAATGAGGAACCACCCAGCAGGGGCACCCCAAAGGACACACCAGTGCCCTGGAAACCGACTCTGCTGTGTCAGGCACCCCAGCCTGACCTTCGGATTCACAGGCCCCTTGTGGTCTTCTTCCTGGCCAGTAATCATCCGCTCCTGTCCCTGGGTTCAGGGGGCTGTCTGCAGCGGTAGTTCCAGATGGTTTCCTTGTCTGTCACACCACTTCACCCTCTGCTCGAGCTGGACAGCATCTGGGCTGGGCATCCTGCAAGCTGCAGGAGCTGGGTCAGCCCCACTGACCATGGTCAGCACTGCCAGGCACAGGCACTTTGAACTTGGGCACTGGCATTTGCTTTAAAAGGTGGTGCAGGGAGTTTCTTCATTTATCTTTTGGGGGAAGGTGGAGGGAAGACTTCAGGTGGGGCTTTGAAAACATGTCCATTAATGCTCCTCACTCCCCAACCCCAACTGTGTCTGTCGATCCTGGCATTTTGGTTTTTCTCCTTTATTTTGTAAGCCAGTGTGTCCCATTCAGTAATCATAGCTTTACAGTCTTGCACAGCTATTTCTTATTCTCATGCAGACCTTCGTGAGAAAGGAATGGTTACAGTGTAGCATTTTGAGGTGCATTTTGACAAAGTGAATTTTCACATAATGTGACCAGACAGGTGCATCCTGTTCAGGAGGGGTCAGTGTGAAATCATAAATTTTTACAGAAGTTTAAAATAGCTTCATACAACCCGAGCCTTTTGTTGCAGTTATTTACCAGGAGCAGCCTACCACAGCCTGCCCGGGGACAGGGCATTTAATCACCCGCTGCCCCACAAGCACTTGGTGGCTTGTGAGCCGGCTGTCAGGGGGCAAGGAGGGTCACAGCCCTACTTTGCCCACCCAGCCCGGCTGTCCATTTTGCAGGAATCGAGCATTAGGCAGTTGTTTCTGAACCAGGATTGTACAGCTCATCCACAGCCTGGTTTCTGGTGGTCAGAGAACGTTCCTGTGGGCGGATGAATGCAGGTGACCCAGCCAGCCAGCACCCGCCGTGTTTTTACAGCCCACAGTTCACAGAGCAGCGTCCTGAACCTGCTGCTCCCTGGGTCTGAGTCTCAGCTTTTCTTGGGAGGCGGCCAGGCTGAGATGTGGCCTGACACTTTTGCCCACACCCACTGACCAACAGGCTGACCTCAGCCCTTCTCTCTGTCCCTTTCCAGGTCTGAGTCACTTGCTTAGAGGCTAGGAAGTCATCAGCTTGAAGGGGCAGACGTCAGATTTCAAGACAGCTCGTTAGCAAACTATAAAAACTGCTTTTGAAAACTCCAGTAAACCTCCAAGAGTGTGTCCCCCTGGAGGGTGCTTTTCTTCTTGTTGCATTTCTCTCCCACAAGCTCTGATAGAACAAAATAATAGCAGCCATCACCATTTATGGAAATTTGCTCTATTTCTAATATTCAAAGAGCTTAAATTCCAATCTGCCACCAGTGGTGAAAAGCTAGAATCCGTGACTCACCAGTATTTTTTTCTTTTTGCAGCTTCTTTGATTGAGATGAGCCCTCTAGCATTGGTGAAATGGCAGCCATGCATTTACATCAGTTTTCATTATTCTGACGCCATAGCCACAGAGTGCAGCCTCACCCCTCTCCCTCTGTCTTCTCATTGCACGGTCACCCAAATCCCCAACACTGAGTTCGCACTGACAGGGTTGGTGCTGCGTGGCCTGGGGTCCTGGCTGGAGGGCAGGGCAGGGCGGGCCGGTGCAGCACCTGCTGCAAGGTTTGCCTCCCCCTCTCTTCCTGGTTCATCTGAAGCTCTGCTTCAGCCTCTGTAACCCCGCTTAACCTTGACTCCTCCCACACGAAGGGAAGGGTAACACAAAGCTCATCCAGACTCACCTTTGGAAAGCCTGGCTCTTTCCCTCCCCACCTGACGGGAACAGAAGGTATGTCAGGAGGCTGCACTTGCTCCCGCCCACATCATCCAGAGCAGCCAAGAACCGCCCCAGAATCTGCAAACCACGTCTCCTCGGTCGGGCGTGTCGCAGTTGAAGTTCATAGGAACCTTGTTCCACTTACAGGCAGCACCTCCGCAGCCCACCGGGCACCAAAGGTCTTTCACCCCCACATCTTCATCTTTCTTTTTCCAAACAAGCTTTCACCATATTTCACAGTCGGGATGGTTCCAGCAAATCCCACTTCTGACGCTAACTGTGCCCAGCTCCTTGCGGCCAGCCCCGGGGCTGGTGGCTTCCTGAGGACTTGCAGCCTGTAGTCTTACGCAGATGAGACTCACTCCCGGGAAAGGGTACGGCATGACACCGCCCAGGCACACAGGGGCCAATCAGAGAGACCGGGCTCATTCCCATGGTCCCTCCCCCAGGGAAGCCCCACAGCAGTGAGTCAGGACGCAGCAGGGGGTGTCACCCATCAGGGATGCTCACCTGCCCATGGAGTCCAGGTCGGGTTGGCTGCCCAGTGCCTGTGTGATGACGATGGTCACTGAAATTCCGGACCCCCAGACAGACAGACAAGAGGGCTGAGGCCAGCCTGCTGGTCACTGGGTGTAGGCAAGGCTGCCAGACCACCGCACCCTCCCCCACTGTTCACACTAAGGGCTCAGGCACAGTGAGCCTCTCTTAGAGTTCCGGGGACGTTTGTGGCAGTTGACAGGGTGGGAGCTCTTCACCAGTCAAGTTCTCAGACATCCTTAAAGGTCAGGTTTGCAGGTAAGCCTTTCTGAAGACAGCAGCCCCAGGCTGCTGTGTCCTCTCTTCTCTGCACAGTTGTGTAATCAAGAGAAAGATTTTTAAGGAGACATTTGCAGTTGTGGGTTTTTTTGTCCTCTGTCTTTGAAATCGAGTGTGTACTTTGACTGAGTTGGGCTGCCCTTGTGGCTTAGCTGGTAAAAAATCTTCCTGTAGTGCAGGAGACCTGGGTTTGATCCCTGGGCTAGGAAGATCCCCTGGAGAAGGGAACGGCTACCAACTCCAGTATTCTGGCCTGGAGAATCCCATGGACTGCAGTCCATGGGATTGCAAAGAATTGGCCAAGACTGAGAGGCTTTCACGTCACTTTCCCTTTGGGGCAGCACAGATTCCCAGGGGCACGGCCGCTGGGGTGACTGTGTCCGGGTCTGGAAACAGGGTAGCTGTAGGGGGTGTGCTTCTTGACAGGGCTTCCCACTTCACACACAAGGGGGACAACTTGTGTAAGGTCATGTGAAAGAACTAGTAATACATTTGGAGTTAATACATTATGTAGTGAAAGTTATCCATGTAATCCATGGCCAGAAGTTAATGGAACTGTATGAATTCTCTAAATGTGCTTAAATTGCTCACTTAAACTCCAGGAAGTTAACCTTGGCATCTGTTTTTCTGTGTTGAAAACACTGACATCTCCCTGTAAACGTTTAATCTTAAAGTTGCAAATATAAACAAGCACAACTTGACTTTTACCCTCTGTGATTTGTTTGGGCTTGGATAACGCTTGGTACTGACCTAGTCAGGAAGGTGAGAGGTGTGACTGTGGGTAAGGAAGCACTTGCTGCCAGTCTGTGGGCTGGTCTCCAGTCCTTTCTGGGTAGAGCCTCCATCCTCCCTACCCAGGGCAGAGCCCCTTCTCTACGACTCCTCCCACTCCATTTCTCATTTTGGAAGTTTCTTTGGGGGCTAATGGAAGCTTATGTTACAGAAATTTAGGATTCAGTGCATAACATGCGCTCTCACAGTGTGACTTCTGCTCATCTGACTGACCTCTCAGCGTACGAGCCGTGCTTCACAGCCAGGGCCTCAGTTCTGTGGCTCCCGCCTCCCTAGGCGCTGTCTTCTTCCTCCTGCACGTCTCCCCCTGAGCCCCACGCACAGACTCCATCCGTTCTCCCCCCCTGGGTTGGAAGCAGGCTTCTGTCTTCTGGTTATTGGCCTCTGAGAAAGAGAGTGAGTTTTTAGACCATCCTTGAAACTGGCGTCTTTGACTTTGAATAACGTGTAGCATTTCAGTATCTGTTGGAATTTACATTTTCCAAGTTTTCAGTATTGAACTCAGGAAGAAGCAAGGCTCTGGATGCACAGAGCTGTCACCTCCTTCCTCTGCCTTTCTTCTGCCTCAGCCCCAGAGGAGCTGAACATGGCAACACATTTGTTTCTGTAAAAAATTCTTCTCCCAGAAAACCTACTGAGCAGAACCTTGTGGGCTGTGTGGTTAAGGAATGGGGGTTCTCGGGCATTTCTGGTGCAGCATCTTTGTTGGGAAGTTTACAGCTGGCATCTTTGGGTTTTTCTCCAGGTGTGTGTTCCCTCTTTGTCTCTCTCCCCCCTGGTTTATTGTATGATAGTTGACTGGAACCCACTCTGGTTGTCTTGCTGGGAGAATCCCATTCAGAGGAGTCTGGCGGGCTACAGTCTATGGGGTCTCAAAGAGTTGGGCACACTCACGATTCTCTCTGTGATGTGTCTGGAAACTCTCCTCCTGTGCTCCCGTTGAGGACGAGGTTTGTGACTGGGAAAGATAGTTGCTGCTCCCCCAGTGCTCTGCGATCTCTGGGTGCTCGCCTCTCTCATTCTTAAATCGTCAGGAATTACCCCCTGCAGGGCTGTCACCCACCCCCCCCCTTCCACTTCACACACACACCCTTCCACTCACACCCCCACCCCACCACCATGGGCCCTCGTACCTGCTCAGAAGGCCCCCTGGAAGCCGGCCTAGTCCCGGGGATGTGAGAACAGGACAGCGGCCCCCAGACCCTGGCAGGCCTGTCCAAGCTGCAGGTAGCCTTTGCCTGTGGTGGGGAGGGATTATCACTGCCAGTGTGACCGTGACCTCGTCCCTGGGCAGTGCCTGCTCTGGCCGGACCTGTGACTGTCTGCTGTGGGCAAATCGATAATGTGTCTCTCATGCCCTGAAAATTTACTGGGTTTCTCCTGAATAATTTAATGCCTCTCTGTGAATAATGCTTGGTTTTTAGCTCTCACAAGCATGTAAGACAATGAATGGCTAGGTAGGATTTCTTTCTGCTTTTATTTCCAGGTTAAATGAGTTTTAGTGCCATCTCAGTGGAAAGATGAGTGGGCCCTGTTATTATCCTCAACATCAGGAAAGCCAGTCTCCATAAGGGTCTTGGAGAAATTCTGTTAACCCCGTGGGTTCCAGACCCAATTTCTTGGCAGAAGAATACGCCACCTTGATCATACCCAGAGATAAAAAATTATAGGTGTCATATAGCCAGTAATAACTGTGATGTGTTGGAAATTTGTTGTGTTGCATGCAATTTCCTGAATAGTTTACTCAAGTTATTTAACCCTCAAAACCAAGGAAGAAGTGGGGATTGGTGATTCTGCACCGGAATTTCAGAGCATCCGCACTTTGGATATTTGGGGTCAAGTCGCTATGTGCCCTGGGACGTCCTGTGCCCTGTGGGGTGTTCAGAGGCCACACCCCCAGGCCCTTCCAGCCAGAGATGTCTTGAGACCCCTGTCCCTGTGTGGTTGTGACGAGGGGGGTCAGCCCCGACTGACCAAGAACTACTGACCTAAAGGGCAGGGAGAGGAGGGAAGCGCAGTTCAGAAAGGACGCTTGTGGACCCAGGCAAAGCTCGCTCCCTGAGGCCGAAGCCCTCCTGTGGATTTGTAGATGCAAGTGACTTCCTGCCAAGCCTGCGCGTGTCCCCAGAGGGGCTGTGACGTCTGAATGCCCTTTTCCATCACCAGCCTCCCTAGCCTATCAGTGACATCGGTAGCCTGATAAACCCCACCTAAGTAAAAGCAAGGGCAGAAGCAGGAATTGCCTGCCGCCGCCCCGCCCCTGGCCTGGCGAGCGTGTCGGGCCGGGAGGGGTCTGTCCGGCCCCAGTCTAGCCGTGGAGGAGGCGGCCCCCAGGGGCTCCCGGCCCCGCTGTCCCGCGACCCTCCGCCGCTGCCCTGAAGGGCTGGGCGGCAGCGCCACCTGGTGGCCGTGGCGGGAGTGGAGCCGCGCTGCGCCACCCGGGTCTGGAGCGGGGCTCGGTGCCAGCCCCGCCCCCGCCCCCAGGCGAGCGCTCCTCTGGGAGGTGCCCTCGCTCCTGGCAGACTGCTTCCTCCCGGGAGGCTTCTGTCCTTGGAGTGGTGGCTTCCAGGGGCTACGGCAGCCCTGCTTTATAGTAAGAAGCCTCGGGTACAGGCTTCCGCTGCATCCTGTTCGGCCCGCTGTGTTGTGGAGAGGCCGCGCGGAGGTTTAGGGTTTGTCACACAAGATACGTGACCCTGGGCCCAGCCCAGTCTTGCAACTGTTGATAATTTGGAGATGGAGCCCAGAGTTTTGCCTGCACGGCCCCTCTGTTCCACCTGCTCTGCCCTTGTGCTCACAGGCTGGAGTGTCCACGGGGCCGTGCTGTGCTCCTGAGGGCCGCGATTCCTGGAAGCAGGCGGTGGCTGCGCGTGCTGACCCCTGACCTGCGGTTGAAGGCCTCCTTATGCCCTGACTCTCGGCCTGGCCCACGGTGCTTTCCACCCCGGGTCACAGGTTGTGATGGGGGCCCCGTCGTCCTGTATGCGCCCGCTCCGCCTGTCCTCCTGCCAGGGCCCGAGTCCAGGAAGGCCCCAAGTCTCCACTCCCTGCTCCTGCCCCGAGGGCCTTCCTGTCACCCAGCACCTCCTGATACCCAGGCCCTCGGGAGGAGGCTTTGCCCTTATGTTCACAGCCCAGATCGTCTGTCCACCTGCTCTGACTACACTGTCCTCTGCCTGGACGGTTGTCCTGGAAAGGCTGGGGCCTTCAGGATGGTGGCACTCACGTGGTTTGTGAGCTGGTCACCGACTTCCCACCAGCACTGCTCAGGGTTGCTAGGGATATGATTTGCTTGGATTTAGGACTTTGAATGCAAAGTTTCAGCCCTGAATCAAGTATATGGGGTGTCCTGACCCTTCTGGGGCTGTAATGCCACTTATGTGTACCTGGGAAAACAGGATCCCTGAAGAGGAAGGCAAGACCACAAGAGGTCTGTGTGCTCCATGTGGAGGGCCTAGGGCCCTCCTAGGGGATGGCCCAACTCGGGGATGGGTTCTTGTGTCGTCTTCGCCCAGAGTCACCTTAGAAGTTGCTTCATTATTCACTCATCAAACACTGAATCACCACCATCTGCTGGGTGTGGTCTGGGTCCTGGGGTCACAGCAGGGGCAGAGCCAGTTTCCACGTTTAAGAGGTGGGACAATCAACCTTCGATGGGCGTGTTCCAGAAAGGCCCCACCTGGGCTATACTGGAGGAGAGGCCAGGATGAGCAGGACAGGATGGGGGTTGCAGTGTTCCAGTGGCAGGAATGGGGTTAATGTGGAAATACTGGGCCCCCGGTCTGTGCCCTGAGGGTGTCCCGCTGGCCCCCAGACCTCACGGTAAAGGGCCAGCACCTGGTCCTCGGGGTCTTGAGCTGCCAGCCTCCATGCCGATGGGGCCACACTCAGGGAGGGCCTGCGCCGGGTCTCTGCAGGGGCCGAGGCATCAGTGAGGAACTTCAGGGCTTCCAGGTCCAGGCCTCTTCTTCAATGTGCAGGCTCTTGGTCGATGAAACCATCAGTCACTTTCTGTCACACTATTGCTTTAAAAAAAAAACAAAAAAGAGAAGAAAAGGGAAAAAGAGAAGACTAATGGCAGGGGTTCCCACCTGCAGAACCCTGGCCAGAGGTTGAAGTCGTGTGCTTCCTCCTAATCCTGCCAGCAATCTGTCAGGGAGCCGATGCCGGTGGCCTCTCACACATTTGCTTTATGAGGAGCTGGAGGGGCAGTGACCAGCGGTGCCAGGCCTGGCGCAGAGCTCGGCTGACAGCTGGGAAAGGGCAGCCCGTGGAGGACCAGGCTGGCAGCAATCAGGAGCCAGTTGAGCCTTTTGAGCAAAGTGATGAAATCCACAGGGAAAGTGGTGAGCTGGAAAACAGATGAGATTCTGGAGGCAGGAGCCTGAACACAGCATCTTCACCCCAAGCAACTGGAAGCCTGAATGCAGTAACAGAACCACAGCATCTTCAGTGTCACGGAGCCCAAAGAGGAATCGCTGAAGTGTGGTGACTTTGGTATTTGGGGAACCAAGAGCCAGAAATTCAGGGACTTGCCCCAAGTCAGGTCCCTCGTGGTACGTGTTCTTCATGAAATCCGGGTGTCCCCGACCTGTGCTTGCTTATATCACACATTGCTTTGTTTTTTTTTGGTCTGCCCGCGGCCCCTGTTATTTTCAAGTTTGTCTCTCCTGGAGCTGCTTACCCAGCAAATAGTCTCGAGGTGCTGTATCCAGGGCTTGTTCATGGTGCTGGGGAAGGAGCGTCAGACCCTCCAGGAGGGTGCCTGGCAGGGGTGGGCTGAGAGCCAGATCTGTGGGTCCACGCCACTCATGTTGCGGCCCCAGCTGTGTGGTGCAGGTGTTTCCCTGGATGTGAGCCTGGGACTCGGGCAGAGGCCAGGCTGCAGATGGAGCCTGGAGTTACCACTTGCAGCTGGTGCGTGGGGTTGGGAGGAGAGCTGGAAGCGAGTGTGGGCAGCAAAGAGAGAGACCTGGACTGTGAGCCCTGCGCTGCGGCTCAGAGGATGGCGAAGACCCAGCGCAGGAGGCCGAGGAGCAGATACAAGCCTGCACTGGCTACAGAGGAGAGTCCCTGAGGGTGTGTGCACGCACCCTCAAGGGCCTTCTGACTCTGCATCTCCATCATCAGGGCCACCTTTCAGCTTCTGCCCTTGGGCAGGCATGTTCTTCTTGGTGCCCCCCTTCCCGAGCGAGAAATCCTGTGTGCGGAGCCGTCCTCAGGTCACTTAGGGGGCACGGACAGATGGTCAGCTGTCAGGCACAGGCACAGTCAGCCTACAGAGGAGGAAGCAGGAGCCCCTGGCCAACAGGAGCTGGGTGCCCTGCCCTCCCAGACCCGGTCCCTGTGAGCAGCAGAATGGTCTCCTCGGGACCCAGGCCTCCTGGCCTTCCACGTGAATAAGAGCTTTGTGCATTTTCTGCCAGTGGGAAAGTAGAAGTCACAAAAGTTATTGATCTGGGCACAGCAGTGTTTAATAACTTTCTTTTTTATTTTAACAAGACACCAAAAGTAAGGCAGATGGACAGGTTTGCAGTGTGTTCCTCTCTGGGATCTCCAGAGAACCTCGAGCTCACGGGTTCCATGCCCCGTGTCTGCTGCATCTGCCTCGGGACTTCACCTTCTGGGACGCAAGGAAATGCATTCAGAGCAAGAGAGCTGGTCCCCCGCAGAGGTCGGTGCTGGGTTTCCAGTCTCGTGCCCAGCTGAAGATGCAGCTTCTTGATGCCCTGTTACCATCAAGTGAGAAATACAGCACGGCCAATTTTGTTCCATTTGCATAACAAGAGAGGTCTCTATGAGGGTGCTATTTACAATGGGGCCTTTCCAGAGGAAAGTGCTATCATTCCCCACCTCAACCTTTTTGTTATACAGGTAATACATAAAATGATACTGTTTATTGACCACTCATGTAATTTTCACAACACTTTTCAGGTAGGAGCATTTTTTATCTTTTATATAAGGGTTGAGAAAACACGTCTGGAGAGAAATATAACCCAGTTGGTAAACTGCAGAGCAAGAAGTGAAACTCAACTTGATCTGTACATCTGTACATTGCTGTCTGTGCTTCTTGTAGAAAACATCATGTTTCTTATGGAAAAGTTAAAAGGTTAAGTCAAGCCAGAGGGAAAGTGTATCTACATCTTCTGCCCAGAAAGAATCACTGTTATTTGGACTCTTATTCATATTTTCTACATAGGTTATGTAGATAGGAAAGGAATATGCATACTCCTTTGTAACTTTTTACTTAACATTGTATTGTAAATATTTTTCTGTTTCTTTTTCCTAATGCATTATTTATAATATTCCATTGTGTGCCTAAAGCATAATTCAACTACTTTGGGGGATTTCTACTTTGTTTCTGATACTTTGTTGCTTCAAAAAAATACCACAAGGAATATATTTGTCTTTTCGTGTCTTTTCATGCACTACCTTTTTCCTTAGATAAGTCAGTTGGTAGGTGATGCCTTTCTGTTTTAAATGGTGAGCACACCTTTAGTACCTCTGATAGTTATTGCATTCATGAAGTTTGTCCCAGGCTATACTAATTATTTTCAGTAATCCAACAGATACTGAGTTACAGGGCTGTTCTTGGAGCTGTCCAAGGTGCTGATGTCCTTACCTGTGCATCATATTCTTGAGGTTTTTTTTACAGTTTTTCATTTTAAACTATCTCAAAATTATTGAGAATTTGAAAGGAGAAATTTACTCAAGGTTCTGGAATTGTGATGGTTATAGATATTTGATTTTCTAGATATTTGTTTATTCTGATACAAAAAAAAAGCAGATTCTTTTTGAAACTATTAAAAAAACTTAACTGTCATGAAAACTGATGTGACTTAGTAAAGAAACTTTGTATGTGTTTGATCATTGATTATTACAATAGACAGGCTGACAGACGTGTGTTATAGTTTCTCTAGAGTCATCATATATGCCGCCAGGGCTGCCGCCTACATGAAGATTCAATTGTTTAGTGATATATGGGATGTGGTTAGAAAGACTGAAATTTAAATGTGTAAGATAAACATTTGTGAAAGGACTTCTGTCTCTTCTGATTATCTTAGTCATTGTCATACTTATGTCCCCTCATGGCTCACTGTTGCATAATTTGTGTTCAGATTTTCGCCATTGAATATTTTTACTGGATTCTGAGGGGTTAGTTATGCTGGTAAAAGAGTGTTTCATTTCAGCTTGTAAAGTTACAGCTACACAGGGGTGAGAGGTGGGTGGAGAAGTAAGGAAGGGCTTCTTCATGTGGCCAGCAGAAGCTGGAAGGCTGTGCTGTGGCCTCCTCACACACCCGTTGGAGAGTCAGACTAGGGAGCAGAGGACGGAGGGTGGAGGCCGGGGCTGGGCTCCGGGACACAGAGCTCACCTCCTGCAGGGGCGTGTGTCTGGAGTCTCCTGCCAGCAGCTGCCCTGCTCTGCGCACCTAACACTTCCTAGGAAGGCGGGGCATGTGTTGTGTTCTTACCATGCACACGAGCACACACAGTAATGATAATACTAATAAAGGGGCGGGAAGACATGCTCAGAGGAGGTGGCGTTTGTCTGTGGCTTCAGCAGTGGCCGTAGGTTGTATAGTTGCCCAGACTCATTGAGTCCTCATGTTAACCATGTGTGACACAGAGAGTCCATAATGTGGTTTACAAAGAAACAGAGGGCGTTAGACAAACTAGCCGTTGGTTCCGTCGGCTTCAGTTTAGCTCCACCCGGGCCAGATGTTTGCTTTGGGGAGTTCACGGTTTCCGAGAGAAAACAGACACAAAGCTGGTATAAAATATCGTTACATCGTGACAGATCCAGGGAGACAGACGGCTGGTCTTAAACCCCAAAACTTCAGAGCAGCCTGTCATGTCCAGGGATTCACCTTAATGCAGAGTACCGTGTGACCTGGGCCTCGCTTTGTCTCTGTTTTTAAGCAGCAGTTACAAACTAACTCGGAGAAGTTTGCGTTTGCACACTCCTTCTGTGTCGTCCGCAGAATCACCTGGTGAGATGGCTCTTAATGCCCTACTCTGGACACTCTCCACGTGCACACACGCAGCAGAATTGTGTCAGGACCCAGCATCTAATTCAGGACAATTATTTCTTTTTTCAAAAATTAAAAAAAGATTTTTACGTAATTTCTAAAGGTTAGGGTTGCAAAGAGACATAACTGAGTGACTGACACACACACTCCATTTAAGTTATTACAGAATATTGTCTGTGTTCCCCATGTTACGCAGTCACCCTGAGCCTGTCTTACACCCCATCCTTGGTACCTGCCCCTCTCCCACCCTAAGTTGCCCCTCCCCCACACAGTAATCACTCCTTTGTTCTCTGTATTTGTGAGACTGCTTCTTTTTTGTTACATTCACTAGTTTGTTGTATTTTTAGATTCCACACATAAATGAAATAATATGCTATTTGTCTTTCACTGTCTCATCTCACTGAGCACAATAAGGCCAGTAATTTCTAACATACTTGACAGTATCTCAAAGCTCAGACCCTCATCTGGAACCTCAGCCCAGTCCTTGGGTGCCGGCTGTGGGCGGGGCCTGTTGGGACACAGGACCGGGTGTCAGAGGTCAGCGTCCATTCCCGGCCTCCGTGGGTCCCACGTGGGCCCACTGCCCCTTCCCAGCCCCTCCCCTTCTGCGCCCTGGGTTTCTCCCACCTTCCTGCCTTGGTGGGCGGGCCCTGCCCTGTCCCTGGGGGCGGCCCCCTCTGCTGCCCTGCTCCTGGGGCAGCTCTGGCCTCAGCCCCTGGGGCTGGACTTCAGTCCCTGGGACCCGGCTGGGGGTCTCACCTCCCCAGTGTGTCCCTCTTGGGGAGCTGCCCTGTCCACAGGGCCTGGGCCTTCCTCTGCCAGGAAGCCTTCCCAGCTCTGAGCGTCCAGAAGCAGGCCTGGCTGCTGTCCCGGCCGGTCCTGGTGGCTGAGCACAGAGGGGGCCGTCGTGAGCTCTGACCCAGCCCTGCTGGGCTCCTCGCCTGCTCCTTCAGCAGACGTGGGAGAGGACCCTCTTATCACCTCCCGAGACAGGAGGGTGGGAGGACAGCGGATGCTCATTTGCGACAGTCACAGAGGTCTTCCTGGGAGGGAGGTCAGCTGTGTGATTGGACAGGAATGTTCTCAGCTTTGGTTTCAGGCTTAAAAACTATTCTTACTTCAGTGCATTTTCCATGACATAGATCAGACCCCAGATCATCTTAACATTGATAATGTAATTAAAGCCCTCCAAGCAAAAACAGAATTTCAGTGCTTAAATAATTCGCAATATCATTTTACACTAGAGTGTAAGGTTAAAAGATTTTAACCTAAAATGAGTATGTTTAACCACAAGCATCAGAGCACACCATCAGCAGTCTCTTTTTCTATCAGTATCTCACCATGGTCCTGAGTGTTGATTTGAGAATTTGAGAGCGTGAATTAAGATTTAGAACTTAGATAATTGGATTTTATTAAAATAAAAAATTTAAAAACCTGCTTGTGTGCATCCACGGACAGCATCGTAGAACCGAGAAAACAACCCAGAGGGGAGGAAATGATTGCACATCACTCATTTGTAGGGGCCTTGTATCCCTAATTCGCAAAGACTCTAACAAGTCACAGCTCCCTTACTGGCCCATTTCTCCCCATGATGTTTGTCCTAAAGAATCCCACCCACTGCCCCAGCTTCAGGCCCTTTGATGGCAGCTGAGGTCCACCCAGCTTCTTAATGTGGCTAGTGACAAGTCTACAGGCAGGTGGGTGGTGGGCTCATCTACACAAAGGGCTCAGGGCGATGAGACTTGGGCCAAACCCCCAGGTTCCTGACACTGGTGAGACAACATTTCCTAATGCAGCAAAATCTCCTTCTCCAATAAGGTTCACTTGAAGCTTCTTCAGGTTATTGCTGGTTAATCTGTTGTATTTACTTTTGAATTCATGCACCTGTTGGGTTATTTTAGAAGTTGCAACAGAATGTATTTTCATTCATACCTAGTGTATTCTGTGAAATCGGTAAAGCTGTAGAGCCTATAAACTGTCTTTATTCTTTATAGAGTCTTAGAATATTTCCCTTTTTGTAGACATTTGCTTAGAGATTGTTGAGTCTCGGTGATGTAGGCAGGCAAGGTTATCTGGAATGGAGGGAGAGGCTGGGTTCTTGGTCACAACTCGCACGAATGCTTTGATAAGGCATTTTGAAGATGCATTATATTTTTTTCCTAAAGTCAGAAAAGCCTTTGCAAACAAGCATGTTTTACAGAACCAGGTTTCTTTAAGCTGTCCAAGATAAAAATGATGCTTATCCTGAATGCTGTTAGCTGAAAGTATAAGACATCTTATACTTTGCAACCTGTCTTTCACCAGCAAATGCGCTATTAATTTATAAATCAGGGATCCTTGTAGCAGTGCCATTAATGGGAGGTCCTGGCAGAGGTTTTGAGGCACTGACTTCCTTCCCACTCCTCAGGGGATGTGACTGAGTTGTTAAGAAGAACTTTGAATCTGGGGCGTGGTGGTGGCTGTCCTCATGTCTGGGTGGGTTTCAAGTTATTACAGTCCTTCAAAAGCAGTCACATCAACTCCAAAAGGACTGTTATGGCAACTAGACTGTCTTCTAATGGGGTTATAATGACAAAGTAATAAAACCATTAAGCAAATGGGGATTGGAGGCTTTAATACACTGATGTCCAAATAATTGGGAGAACAGATGCTAAGACCACAGGACCTGGTGAACATCCTCCCCAAGTAGAGAAGCTGAGGGTTTGAACTGATTCTGAGTTGACACTTTTCTGAGCGTGTGCTGTGACTCAGTGATCCCAGATTCTGGTGCATGACGGGAGAGAGAGGCCACATGTCACAGGGAACCCTGACCACCTAGAGGAAGCGCTTGCTGGTTGTCGCCTGTGGACAGGTCTTGCTCGTCAGGTAAAGTGTGATCCTACTTTCCAGTGAGGTAGCAGCCACTGGGGTCTCACACCCATGGAGAATTGCTGTTTCCCTTGAAATTAACATTCTCTTGCTTCGCCCTTATACCCCAGGGTGCCTTGGAGCACAGTTTGGGAATTGTGATGTTGATTTATATTTTCATGCCCTCTGGTCTGGTGCATGGCCTCTGTGCTAGACTGTGCCCCCACGCAGGTGAATTCACTTTCCCTGTGGCTAATGGTTCTGGGTAAGGGAGTCCACCTGCAGGGGCTGTGCTCCCAAGGGTGTGCTGGCCAACTCCTAGCAGCCCACTGTCAGGACAGATGGAGCCCTCCGTGCAGGGGGTCTGGAAGGATGCATGGATTTAGGGGGCAGAGGCGCCACCAGGGGAGGGACTGTGTCGGGTTGGGGGGCTCGGTCTGGTGGGGTGGTTGTGTCTGGGGGAGCCGTGTCTGGTGGGGGGACTGTGTTTGGGGGGCTGTGTCTGGTGTGGGGGACTATGTCTGGGGGGACTGTGTCTGGTGGGGGAGCTGTGTCTGGGGGGACTGTGTCTGGGGGGGGACTGTGTCTGGTGTGGGGGGACCATGTCTGGTGGGGGCCATGTCTGGTGTGGGGGGCTGTGTCTGGTGTGGGAACTGTGTCTGGGGGTGCTGTGTCTGGTATGGGAACTGTGTCTTGGGGGACCGTGTCTGGTGGGACACTGTGTCTGGGGGGACACTGTGTCTGGTGGGGGGGCTGTGTCAAGGGGGGGTTGTGTCTGGTGGGGGGTGCTGTGTCTGGTGGGGACTGTGTCTGGTGTGGGAGGCTGTGTCTGGTGTGGGGACTGTGTCTGGGGGGACCGTGTCTGGTGTGGGGACTGTGTCTGGGGGGACTGTGTCTGGTGTGGGGGGGCTGTGTCTAGGGGGGTTGTGTCTGGTGTGGGGACTCTGTCTAGGGGGACTGTGTCTGGTGGGGGGGGCTGTGTCTGGTGGGGACTGTGGTGTGGGAGGCTGTGTCTGGGGGCACTGTGTCTGGTGTGGGGACTGTGTCTGGGGGGACCATGTCTGGTGGGGGCTGTGTCTGGTGTGAGGGGGCTGTGTCTGGTGTGGGGACTGTGTCTGGGGGGACTTTGTTTGGGGGGACTGTGTCTGGTGTGGGGGGGCTGTGTCTGGTGTGGGGGGGGCTGTGTCTAGGGGGGTTGTGCCTGGTGTGGGGACTCTGTCTAGGGGGACTGTGTCTGGTGGGGGGGGACTGTGTCTGGTGGGGACTGTGTCTGGTGTGGGAGGCTGTGTCTGGGGGCGCTGTGTCTGGTGTAGGGACTGTGTCTAGGGGGACTGTGTCTGGTGGGGGGTGCTGTGTCTGGTGGGGGCTGTGTCTGGTGTGGGAGGCTGTGTCTGGGAGAGCTGTGTCTGGTGTGGGGACTGTCTAGGGGGACTGTGTCTGGTGGGGGGTGCTGTGTCTGGTGGGGGCTGTGTCTGGTGTGGGAGGCTGTGTCTGGGAGAGCTGTGTCTGGTGTGGGGACTGTCTAGGGGGACCGTGTCTGCTGTGGGGGGACTATGTCTGGTGTGGGGGGCTGTGTCTGGGGGGGCTGTGTCTGGTGTGGGAGGGCTGTGTCTGGTGTGGGAGGCTGTGTCTGGTGGCCTGTCTGGTGGGGTCTGTGTCTTGTTTTGTGTCCAGTGGGGACCGTTGCCATGGAGAGAAAAGCCTGCTGGAGGCTGTGCACAGCTGATCTGGCTGAGGTGCTGGCCTAGTAAGTCTCACGTCCTCTGGGGATCCCAGGCTGACAGAAGTGTGAGCTAAGTCTCAGGTGGATATTTTAGTTCCTCAGCGTGTGTGGTTTACCTGCTGGCACACAGTCGTAAATGCTGCATCAATTGTACTTTCCTACTTGAAGGGAAAGTCACAACTAAACTCCGTCCCCGATGCCAAGAGGTAGAGAAAGAGGCGCTGCCAACCACACAGGCAGCTTTGTGGATGGTCCGGTTTGGAAGAAGGACCACAGGCTGTGGGAGCGGAGGGCCTCACACCCGCTGGGCGTCCACTGTCTGCACTGTGTCAGATGGTCTACTTGTGGTTTAATTCCTTCTGTGCCCAAGAAGAGGAAGTTTCAGATCATGGGCAAATTTCTGGAAAAATCCATTCACATTCTGCTTTTTTGTCACGCCTCCACCAGCTGTGTCTTCTTCCTCACTTCCTTAGGCAGTTCCTGCCTTCCCTGTCCTTCCTGCTCTCTCCCTGCTGAGGACATGGTGACAGGTGGCCCTTGTGCTCTCGGGCAACGTGGATGCCTGGGGGGCCTGTCTGTCTAGGTGCCCTGATGTCTCCTGAGGACTGGGCGGCACTGGGCGGCGTGGCCCAGGACTCCACCTGGCTCTGCAGACCCCCTGCTGCAGGCCGTTGCACTTTTTCTGACCCACCGTTGTGCTACTCAAATCCTAGCCTGTGGCCTCTGTTCCCGTCTCCCACCCCACCCCCTAACCATCGGTTTGTTCTTGGTATCAGTATGGGTAAGTCTGTCTCTCTTTCTCATTTGTAAAGTTGACGCTGTAAAATGATCAAGTCATGGGGAGTGATATACATACAAGGAGCACAGTCAGTAGTATTGTAGCAAGTTTGTATGGTGACAGATGGTGGCTGGTATGATTGTGGTGATTATTTCATAAGGTGTAAAAGTATCAAATTACTGTGTTCCACCCCTGAAACTAATATAACATTGTATGCTAACTATAACTCTGTTTAAAAAAAAGGTTAAAAAAGAGTTCAACTCATCAGTGACACCACAGGAGGAAGCAAACCAGCTGCTCTAACACCTGCTGGATGCCCTGGCGGCCTCCGTCATCTGTCATTGTGGTTGCCCTGGAAACCTGACCAGCCGCCCCCAGGACGAGCTGTCTGTGCTGGGAAAGGCCCCCTGGTCTCTGTAGCTCGAGGGAGCCTTGCCTCTCCTGTGGTGCTGCCCTGAGCTCTTTTCCAGAAGCTGGAGGCCAGTCCGAGTGGACGGCAGGCCTTGCTTCATTTGTAGGCAGATACCTTTGCAGCAGGTCTCAGGTTTACTTGAAAGTGCTGCCAGATGTGGACAGGAAGCGGTGAGGAGAGCCTTGGCTGTTGAGCTGCCTGTTCCCTGCTCACAGGCAGTCAGCAGTGATGCAGCACCCCTGGGCGAGGGCGTGCTCGGCTGCAGGGCGGTGACACTTCTGGTCCAGTCTCAGCCTCAGGGCTCCTGGAGTTGGGTCTCATGAGTGCACCTTACCTTCCATCTCCTCAGTCGCCCTGTCAGTATTTAATTGTGGGGCTCTTATGAGGAATATATTTCCTCTCCCTAAATATTCTTGTGTATTAGGTGCCCTTTAGGATTCAGACCAAGCAGTAGATACCACATCACTCTCAAATGCGTACTGGAATTTTATATAAATGTGTATATTTAAAAAGAATATAGCTTTTAGCTTCAGGATCTCTGTGAAATCTAGATATATCAGTATCTGCAAACTAAAGCCGTGAAATCTCTTGACAAAGTGTAATTTTTCATTCTTGTCTCCAAAGCTTCGGCTAATGCTCAGCCTACAATTCTTTTATTACCTGACTACTGTTTCCTTAGCTGTTCATTTCACATGAAGGACAAGAAGTGTGATTTCTTGTTCTTAATTTAAACGTTCTTTGGCAGCACAATAGAATGTCTAGAAATTCCTTGGAAATCTCTCATTTTCAGCCCTGATCCCTCCCTCCCCACTTCTTCCCTCTTTCCATCCAGCCTACTTTTCCTCACTTCTGTTCCAGCCTCGGCCTGAGCTCTGCTCTCCCCATGCCTTCCACTGGAGCTCTCATTCACCCCCCTGTTCCCAGGATCTAGTCCTGAGGCTATCATCGACCTTCCGACTTGGCTGTCCGTGGGTGGAAGGATCCAAACGTTCCACGCGCGATGCTGCAGAGGGCGCACACAGAGGGCTTTCCTCTGTCGGCTCCAGCCTGGCACAGGCGCATGGTCGACTCTGCTCAGGAATCAGCTTAGTTTGAACTTTCAGGTTTAGTTTAATTGTACGAGACAGCTGGTGGTGGTACTGGATTTGGGGATTCAGGAAGGAGGCCTCCTGTGGTCTCCTGCTGATCCTCAGCAGAGGACCTTTGAAGGAAATCTTTTATAACAAGGTGCTCTTGCCATTTTAAAAATAATTCTTTTATCAATTATTTTTCTAATGCTTTTAAGAGTTACTGGATTATAACTCACAGGTAATAAAATATGGCTCTAACTGGACAGTGTGATGAGTTGTGAGGGATGCACTTTTTCATCAGCAAGTCCCTTGAGGCCCTTGCAGTCAGCGCGCCGCCAACCCATTCTCAGGGAAACATCACTAATTCCATCCCTGTGGTCTTGTCCCTGCTGTCAGATTTCAGGTGAGTGGATCACCCTCAGGAGGACTGTGTGTTAACCTTCTTCCAGTCACCTTCCTGTTTGAGAGTCTTCCAGGCTGTTACTGTGTTGGTGCTTCCTTCCTTCTTACTGTTGAGTGGTTTTCTCAATTTCCACGTGTTGTGTTTGTGTCATGATGTTGGCTACCTTGGTACCTGAGTCCTCCAGCCCAGGGACCCCTCCTCATGTGTTTGCATGGAACTGTCTCGATGTCCCCTGCCCATTCCAGAGTCCCTGCTGTCTACCTGCCCTTGGGAGTGTGCAGGTGGCTGAGGGTTCTGGTCACCTCTTGCTCAGACTTTCTTTTCCTGTTGCTAATATGTGAAGTATATCCTTTCTTCTTATATTCTATTTTAATTTTTCCAGCTTGGTTTATATATAATTGATATGAAACACTGTGCACGTTCAGGATGTGTAACGTGATGATATGATGCCTTTATTGCAAAGTGAGTGTAGCAGTCGGTCAGGGAGCACACCTGCATCTCACACACTCATGCTTCTGTGGTGAGATGGTTTGAGATCTACCCTCTTAGCAGCTCACAAGAGCGTTGACCACGGTAGCCATGCTAAGAGTCACGTCCCCAGAGCTCCTGTGTCTCTGGCTGGAAGTTTGAGCTCTCTGTCCAGAATCTTCCCACCCCTTCCCCAGCCGCTGACAGCCTTTTCCCTTGATTAATCACCTTCTACATGAAGATTCCTGAAACATGCCCCTAGAGGCTGTGGGCATCCACTTGTAGGCCTCTCAGGAATGCTTATATTTTAACATGCTCAAAGAACAGTTCTCTATACAGGGAATTTCAGACCCCAGCTCAGAAAGCTGACTGGCCATTTCCTTTACTTGCTTCATTGCGAGGGTCTTTCTGGTGCCTTGGATGACCCGACTCAGAGCCTGTAGTGTCACCCAAGGCCCTGGAGACCTAGCTCTGAGCAGCGGGTGGGTCCATTGGTTTCCCTGCTGACATGCGGCTTTGGTGTGGATTTAGCCCAGATGGCGAGAGTCCCTCCTTGGTGCCTTTGGTCTCCACGCTGTGGCAGCACCAGATATCGGTGGCTGGGGTGTAGATGGTTTCAATAGTTAGCGACAATATCGTTACCAATTATTGTTGGAGACTCTGGGGAAGTCACCAGAAACTGTTTGAGCTGCACCTCAAGCAGTGCTTTTTAGTAATGCTGTATTTCTGGAAGTCTTCTAAAAGACCCTGGTTTCCTCATGGGTGTGATCCCATCTGACTTGTGTGGTTTTGAAGCCTGAGCTTTCTCCCAGAGCAGAGTCGGCATGTATGGATTTCAGAGGGACCTGCCCCCCCCCACCTTTTAAAGTGCATTTGCCCCCAGGGTGATGGTCCATGTAAAGCGAAGCTCGCGGTGCTGGGCTTACTGGAGTGGCGACGACTCAGACGACTCAGTCTGTGGTGGAGGAGCGGGTCCCCACTTGTGAGCCAGGTCTGTGCCAGACGCGGAAAACCGTCCCGCTTCAGCCTAGAGACCTCCAGTGTATCCTAGCTTTGAGTGTGTGGTGCTTTACTGACTTAGGAAACAGGAAGTTTAAAGCCAGTCAGATGGTATGGTTGGTTTCACCCAGATTGTGTCACATATTTAGAACATGAAACAGAAAGCTGTTATTTCTCCAGATACTGAGATAGATTCTGATGCTGTTTTGTTCAACGTGTTGACCTCAGAGGCCACAAATATGTCTCTGAGTGACTGAATAGATGGAGAGTACTGGGCTAATATGAAACCAGCTTTACCTGTGTGAGCACTAGTTTCTGGGAGTAAGAGGCACAGTTGGGCTATGGACAGTGCCCATACAAACTTCTGCTGTTTCTCTGACATGTTAGTATTTTGATTTTAAGAAGTTAAGATGCATCTGCAACTGTTTGAAACATTTCTTGTTGAATATTGAATACATTTTATAGTAATTTTGTGATTACCTCTTTTTACCTCTTAGACAATATTTCCAACTAATTATGATTAGTATATCCTACAATGGAAAACCATGTCTGTTAGAGTGTAACGAAGCTTTTCTTCTATAGTTTGCACTGGTGAATTTTAGTATTCCCGTTATTTGTATGCCTGTTTTTTTCCAGTGGAATGTGTAATCCAGATGTTAGTCCTGTGCCACTCAAGTTACGGGAACAACCCCATCTCTCCCCCTACAGGAAGCGGCCAGCATCTGTTTCTGTTGAAGGTGGAGGTGGCTGGTAAAACAAATCAGCACTGGAAACCAGGCAGCAGTAGCTGTTTACAAGCTAGGCAAATACGAAGATAACTCCAGTCCCTTTTTAAATGTATGAGTGATGTGCTGTCAGCTCAGCTCAGCCTGGCTTGATGATCCTTACCTCTTG